TTCTGCTGGGATGCTGGGTCCTACTCAGCCTGGGTTTAAGCTGTCAAGTCTCAGGAATAATCTAAACGTGATCAAATGGGTGTGAAGAATTTAGGCGGCAATTAATCAAAGACTCATTTAGTATGCAGACGTTTCGTTTAAGCTCTCACAATTTAAAAAAGTAAATAACGTAGAGAAAAACGTAGATAAATGTTGTTCCTGTGTGAAAAGAATTGTAATATATTATATAATCACTGCCATATCACACAAACTGATGCCACCAGTCACCAGCAGTGAGTTATCCACCATTTTGGCTCTAAAGAGTCTATCATCTGTTCTAAAGTTGTTTATTGTGTTTTAAGTATCCGTGAGTTGTCCAGCACTTTGGTTCTAATGTGTCTATAATTTGTTCTCCAGTAAAAAGTCTCCTAACTGCACGACTGTATTGAAACATCCTCCGGGGTGATTGCTTTCCTCATACACCGCAACCACGAGACACTGTCGGCACCGGTACACGACGCAGCCATGACCTGATCTTGCGTCACGACCAACCATGATGCGCTGCTCTGACAGACGACTTAGCGTGAAGTGGCGCCCATTAAGGTAGATGCCGTGTATTCGGATCTGTTCGTCGTTCATGAAACCTCCTTCAATTGCTTGAATCTGTGGAGATTTTGAGTTGTAATTAATGGCAAGCTAGAGCGCGATAGAGACCACAGAAGACAGAAACTGATTAGAATAATACAGACTTCAACAAAAATTAGGGACCACCTTGACAGACAGCCTTGATTTTTTTAAATCCGAAAAAAGATGGCTAGGAATGTTTCAAAATATTTTGCTCTGATGGTTTTAATGGGTTACCAATGCGTACTGCAGAACTTCCTAAAGGGAGCAAAACCACCACGAGCTGCACGGAAATCCTCGGGGAATTTTAACCACATTTACTGTTTTTTATCGACTTGTGTGCGACACCACGGACATTCCTCAGTTAAAATTTCTAGTGCACGTCATAAACGAACGAACGGTCTCCAACTGTGCTCACTTTGATGGCAATATAATATAAGCCGCGTTTGCTCAAAATCCAGTGTCGCATCAACATACCACCAAGACGAAAGCTGGGAGACTTTGATGATGCCAGAGGTATTGCATGGCTGCAAGATGGAGTTGGAGCCCGAGAGGTTACCAGAAGGCTTGCAGTATAACACTCTGTCATTGTCCGCCTGAGGCAGCGCCATCAAGCCACTGGATCCATCCAAGAGCGCCCACATGCAGGTCGACCCAAGAAGACTACTCAGAGTGTTTGCAAGTGGTTCTTATCTGTTGTTGAAGTCTGTAGTAAAACTGAGAAGAAGTATGCCGAGCGGACAGACCACTAGCACTTGGGGTATACAGAATGATATTAAAGTAGTCGTTTCT